CTGCCTTTACCATCCTTTGCCTTCTCGGGAGTGTGGGGCGCTCCTGGTGAGGTCTCCCAAGTTACACGTGTACTAAGGATTACCAAGGCACCTTTGCCTCCGCCTGGCTGCTGGAACAGCAGGGTATTCCCACTCGGCTCAGACCCTCAGTCTCCCATCCCTCCCTTGGCTCCCAGACCGGGTCCACGTGGCGAGCGGCCCCTGGAAGAGTTGAGGTGGCGAACCGTGCTTCCCAAAGATCTCCATGCGCCGCTCCAAAATGGCCTCGCCCGATCGGCCGGGTCGACCGGAGCAGACTGGACTGAGTGTTTCGTGGCGATGACCGGGACGGGGAAACATCAAACACACGGGCGCTGTATCTCAATAGGGGAACCTGCCAACCAAGGGATTTGGTCCGTTTTTGATGTTCCCAGAGAGGTGCTTATATAGGGGGTCTCCCTATTCTAAATACACAACAAATCGGAATGATCGAGGAATGGCACCTGCTAAGGCTTGATTCTTGGCAATTCTTGGCGCATCATGTCTGCCATATCTCTGGGTCACTCCCTTTCAGGCCTCCTCAGTGGTCTCAACAGCCAGAGCCTCCGCGAAAATGCGGACATGGGGGTCGGACTGTACACTCAACTGTGAGCTTCCTACGCTGTCACCTTGGCTCCAAGAACGGTGTGCTTTCATGCCGTGGTCGCTTCGTGGGGGTCGCCCCCTCCCACGCCACTCAAGGCCGGCCTCCGCAGTCTGTCTGGCTTTGGACTGAGTCTCACGAAGGAGGGCCTGGCAGCCAGGGTCTGGCGTCACAAGCGTCTGGCGTTTCTCTTCAAAGAGGGATCATCTAGTTGTCCCACCACCATTGAATCTCAGTCATTCATTCACTCTTCATTTTGCTAGTGGTATTTTGGGGGGCTGCCCTCTTCTGAGGCACACCCGCTCGTCTAAAGCCAAACCTGTTGTGAGAGTCTGTGCTTCAGCAACCCAGGTTATCAAGTTGGACAAAATGGGATATGAATCAAAACGCACAGGGTCAGGAGTGATTTCCCGCACTGACCAATTTGACTTGGCACGCGGAGTACCTTCATTCGCGGGCCTGTGATGAAAGGAAGGGTGAACCATCTCCAAGGTTTTGGTGGTCTTTGGGTCTGAAATGCTAAAGAATGCTGAAAGGATTGCACGGTAAACCTCCTTTCGATAGAAAGCCCACTTTCCGATCGAAAGCCCCTCCCTTTCGGCTCAAGGTGATGAAAGCCCCTCAGGTCGCCTCGGCCGTGCGCTCCGCCTTCTGCAAGCCTTCCTCGAAGAGTTCCCAGGCCAGTGCTGCCGGCATGTTGATCTGACCGCACGGGTGCCGCGAGCTCAGGTGGAAGGACTCAAGTCCTTGTAACTTCCCCAGATTCTGGTACCCTGTACTGTAGAACTTTCCTACCCTATACCTGTACTGAACTTTCCTACCCTACTGTAGTCTGATTCTGGTCTAGAACTTCCCTACCCTGTACTCTTTCGGAGAATATATATAAACGTTGCTTGCATTGTGAACGCTGAAGAAAGCGCCGTCGAGGGAAGACTCACGTTATGTGAATTACCGCAACCACTCTAGTCATGAAATCAACTGTCTCAAGTAAGGCTGTCAGCGCATCTTCAGTTGATCCTGATTTCTCTCGTCGTGCGCCTGCATCATCAGCTGCACCACCAGAGTGACACAGTGATCGATGTTGGCATAGCGCGCAAGCCCTGGGAGATCCAAAACAGCAGGGCTGTGGGGCATCCAACACCAACCCAGTCTCCCTCTCCTCCCTCTCCTGCCAACATCCCAGCTGTGGGACCTCCCTCCGACCTGAGGTCTGAGCCACCAGAGAACTTGGAAATGTTGTCAAAAAGTCTGACCTTGGACGACAAACAAGGCAACTTGGTTTCGATGTTATCCAAAGTTCCTTGAATCACAAGTTTGCCTTGGCCACCCAAGGACCAGATGGCCCAGCTGCTATCAGCTGTGTGTGACTCTGTGTGACTGGTGGATGGGAGAAGAGACCTGCAGTCACTGGGTGCTTACTTTCGTTTACTTTCTGCTTTATCTCCTGAGTGCCGGCCGACTTGTGATACGTGGGCCGCTCGGTGTCCTCAGCCTCGATGGCGACCTGGGTGTCACAAGAAACCAAGCGCGGTATTCCTTTCTTTTTTCAGGGTCAGAGGAGTGTGATGACAATCTGAGAATCTGTGAGAATGTTAGTTTTAGTAGGGTACAGTAAGTGTGGATTGATTCTGGCTGTGAATGCTGGCTGTCGGGAGTTGTCTGCTTCAGCTTTGGCAGGCCGAGAATCATTTCTGAGTCCCGCGCTAAATTACTGTCTAAAATAAAGCGACAAAATGCTGAGCGGAAAATCACCTGGCAGGGTGGAATGCACATTGCACCATTGACCCCCCAAGTGACACAATGGTGCAATGTGCAGCAAAAAGAATCGGTCACACTACAGCAACCATCACTTTCTGCAAGTCCTCTTCGCCCGGCCTCTTGTGTTCCGATATTTTGTGGCCTTGCCACCTTGCAAATCAACAAGGAACAACAGGGACATGTTCACATCGCGAAACTGAGAGATGATGCACATCGGTCCCCCGGATATCCGTGGTGAATGCTAAAGGCCGCATCTGCAAGTCACAGCTTCGGTAGCTCGCAGCTAGAACCCACCGATTGATCCAACTCACCCGTCTTTTCCCCAATCGCAAACCACCGAGCTACTCCTGTGTTTGAGCCCTCGCCCTCCATCTTCAGACGTGGCCTGACTGTAAAGGACCAGCACCTGACGGATGGCCGTCTGCTTGAGGGCTGAAAGTTCCCCGCCCGCCTGGCCGCTTGGCCGGCCGCGCGGACGCCGCGTCCACGGTCGGTTTGGTGGGAAGGGAGATTCGTCCACGTCCCGAGAACGTGTTCGATCGAGGCCAGCTTTGGAAAAGTGATGAAAAGTGTACAACTTTAGCCTGATCAGGTATCACCTGACCTTTTGAAAAAACTCCCAGAACCCAACAACGCAATTAGCTTCCTTGAACCGAACCTGCTCGGCCTGCTCAGCCTGCTCAGCCTGCCCGCTCCCCAAGCACGGGCGCCCGCAGCGGCCTGGGGCATATCCTTGCCATGGATGTCGGGAGCCGCCCGAGCAATCTCGGCCTGCCGAGGTCCCGAAACCGATGACCGGACTCCTGCGAGCGAGCTCAGGTTCTCGCGACCGGTGTGGCAAGGACATGAAAAGCACCCGGCTTGAAACAACTCTTGAAACCACAAAAAACGGGTCTTCCCAGGGTTGGTTTGTCACCCATCCACCTTCCATGGAAGGTGAGTCGGCAGCAACACGACATGCAGAATCCCTGCTAGTTGCCATCATCAGATTACATCAAACAGCCGTCAGTGAATAACAGCCACTACTCTCCCGGCCTCCACATACTCAGGGCTGGCAAAGCCCTGCGTAGAAGCTAACTGCTTGCCATTACGCGCATGTCCATCCAATGGTCTGGCTTTTCAGTAGAGGCATACCGTTCATAACCAAATCCTACAACTCTTTTTCACTGTTAGAATGGATGGGGTAAGTTGAGCCATCTATATCCGTTCAATTCCTGTCATAATTAATGTGGGGTGCACAGGAGTCAGTCTATCTCCACCAGTGACTCACGCGCCAGTTACAACTGCACCTGTTACAACTCAAAAAACTCTCAACCCACGCACCCGCGTACCTCATTGATGTAAGGAAGCACCGCACTCTCCATGTCCATGTCGCCATCCGGTCTCTTCAAAAAGTCGAAGAACCTCGCTCTACCCAGCGCCCCTTTGGCCCTTCGCTCTGCCCGGGGGAGGGGAGGGGGGTCACAGTGACCTCGGGCCCAGCCGCCCAGCTTCAAGTGGAGTTCGAAGCAGGAAACATGAAAGATGAAGAATCGCAAAAAAAGAAAAAAACAATGTCTTTGACACGTTCGACATTCATCGGTATTCACAAACAAGTTACTAGTCTGGATGACTCTAGTGCACTCTGACCCAAGTTGGTATCGGTCCTGTATTTGGAGCCAAAAAATAGAAAATTGAAAATACAAAACCTGGGGGGTGGGTGGTTTCGTGGTGATTTTGTTGGTGAGAAGTCACTTCAGTTTCTTCAGCTACCATAGAACTGCCCAGCCCGACCACATCTCATCATCGCTGGCGTCGCGACTGACAGACTTGTCGACGATGAACACGTTCCGAGGCTTCATCAAGGTCGTTACTCCTGCCCATCATGGTGCTTGGTGGGAGTAATGATCAGCCCCTATCATCGTTGTCTTTCGAAAGGATAAACAGTGAGTACTTTTTTGCTAAAGCTGCGGGGAAAATGTGTCAAAACCTGTGGACGCGCACCTGAAAGAGGTGAGCTCTGATCCAAAAGCCACCGAACCCTCCAATCCACATCCATCAACTTCCTCGTGGTTGGGTAGTTGGGTGGTTGGTTGGTTGGTTGGTTGGCTGGCTGGCTGGCTGGCTGGCTGGCTGGCTGGCTGGTTGGTTGGTTGGTTGTTTGGCTGGTTGGTTGGCTGGTTGGTTGGTTGGCTGGGTGGTTGGTTGGCTGGTTGGCTGGTTAGTTGGTTGGTGTCGGAGTTTTGGGAAAAAAGATCGTTGGAGGAGGCCATCGCTAGAAGGTTGGAGGCCCTTGCTTTCAGGGAATGAAAGAACAAACGGATTTCGAGTCAATTTGGAATCCAAAACGCCGTGCCAGCGCCGTGCCAGCGCCTCTTCCAGGTCTCCAGGAGCTGGGCCTGAAACTTCTTGTCGCACTCCACCGCCCGGACCTCGAAGGGGCCACCGATGGCCGGGTCTTCCAATCAATCCCAAGCGATTCCTCGAAGGGAGAGAACAATGGTACGTGGACCTTCCGAACTCGGGGGAGCCCTGGCTGGAGATCCAGGCTAGTGGGTTGGGGCTTTCAGCCAGGTGACCCTGACAGGAAGGTGCCAGTATGATATGGTCATGTTTTGATGTCCAGGACTGCTGCACTCACCTCCAAACTGCAGATTGCACCCTGCCACTCCGAGTGCCCTGCCACTCCGGTGGTAGTCCCCTTCACATCGATTTTCCTGAAGAAGATAGGAGGCTGGGATAGACTGGGTCTCTCCAATCATGACATCACGCTTTAATAAAGGATGCCTCACGGGCCTCGCGTCGCCGTCGTTGCGTTGAAATCTCAGCCGCCGCTCCCGGACGTTTTTCCCTGAGGCTTGGACTTTTCCCTCGTCCGCGAGGGAGTCGTCGCCGGCCTGGAACTCCCAGGGCGGACGGACTTTCTTCAGCGCTGAATGACTAAGGATTTGCAGAATTCAATGAATCGTTCAAAACGATTTAAACATTCCAGCTCTGAGAATTCAAGATCTGAGAATTCAAGAAAGAATAGCCTGAGAATGGCTGCTTCCAGATGTCCAGCACACCTGAAGTACATGACCGGTCCACTTTTCGCCTTCAAATGGCCGAAGGGCTCTTGCCTTCAAATCTCAATCCATGGTTTCAAAGGCCAGGCAAAAGGATGTGCTGCTTGGCAGCGCAACAAACTTGCACCACCTCGCTGCCAACGCTGAAGGAAACCAATGTCCAAGCAGACGACCATCTTCCAACATCAACGTGGTAGGAAACATCTGCACAAAACAAAGTGACGGCCGGTGGTCATCTACCTGAAAGACCAAAAAGTGGCCCCCAAGTCGAGTCCATGTTGCGAAATCTTCGCAACGAACCACAGCCACAGGTGGCAAAGGCTTCTCGTCACAGGCTGGCTCGGGGGCCACTGGCCTTTCGACGTGGCCGGTGCCTGTGGGTGTATACCCTCTTTCGGTTTTCAATGAACCCCATATTCTGGTCCAACATCCCAATAGCATGGATCATGGTCAACATCCCTGCAAAAAATGTTTTGTTTGTGTGTTTGTGTCTCGTGATGTGGAGAAAGCTTGTGGCCCACCACATTCTCACCTCAACCCATCCCTCAAACGGGAGACATTAGTGATCCCCAATCCAATACGGAAGTGATCCCCGAGTTGCAAGCGATCCATGCCTCCAGGCGCAAGTGATACCCCATGGCCACACTTCAGGGGGTAGTCCCTCGGGTCTTTAAAATTGAATGTTGCCATCCAAGGTCTACGAAGTAGCCGACTCTCCCTTCCCAATGCCTCATCGACAATTCGCTCCATCACCATTTCAGCGATGTCGTAAACCTCATTCGTGTCTGAGGAGAACGGCACGAAGTGCTCTGCAGAAGCGAGCGTGGACCAAGTCAGTGCAAAGAGTCTTTTTACTGACTCCTTTGGTTCCTCTGGCATCTGAGCTGCAGGCCAAGGCAAAATTGTCATTCCAGGCTTGTTTGCCCCCGGACTTCAAGTTCATGCCCAACTTCATACAGGCCTCGCATTCACAACACGTGGTCTTTCGTCTTCGCCACCTGATCAATGACTAATTTGCACAAAGCACAAAGTTGATACAGAATCGTGACCCTCTAGTTCCAACAAAAATACAGTGAAGGACAAATCCCTTCCTCTCCGACGCTCCGACGACTTTTAATTCGCAAGAAATGGAAAACTGTCATCCTCCACAGGACTCAGCACCACTGGCCTCAGCCTCCTTGCCTTCTCCTCCGGGTGCTTTGGCAAAGGCCTGCCAGCGCGCGATCTCACGTCCAACACACCGCACCGGAAACGCGCCGCGGGGGAGAATCGAACGGGTCGGCGGGTGAACACGACGGTATCTCATCCCAGTCAACTAGTCCAAGGCCATCTAAGGTTGGTTGTTGGCTTCAAAAACTATCCCGGCCAGAGACCTCAAACAGTGCGTGTGAGGTCTAGAGGTGGAGCACCAAAAGTCTAGAGATCTAGACGCATTGAGGTCCAGAGAGGTGATGGTGGCAATGAAGGTGGGGATCGTACTGATGGTGGCGAGGTGGTGAGTGAGTGAGTGTGAGTGTGAGTGTGAGTGTGAGTGTGACTGCGAGTGTGAGTGAGAGTGAGTGTGAGTGTGAGTGTGAATGTGAGTGAGAGTGAGAGTGAGAGTGAGAGTGAGAGTGAGAGTGAGAGTG